TTGGTCTAAAGACTCAGTCTGAAAGAGCTGATCTTTTTGAGTGGAATACAGGTCATTTTCATTGAGGCAATGAGGGTTGAAAGAACAGTAGTGCTGGGATAAGACTCGAATTCAAATTTCAGCTCTGAAACTAGTTTTGCAACTGAATGCAAATTCCTTAACCTTTCTGAGCTTCATTTGCTTATCTGTAAAATAGGAAATGATTGTATCTGCTTTATTTTTCTTCACAATGGTGTTAGGAAGATCAAATGAGGTATTGCATGTGAACATATGTTGTAAAAACTGTGGAGCTTAGTGTAACAGAAATATTGCTTTTACACTTATAAGATGATGTCTCAAACCAGGTCATGCTAATGGTTGAGTTTATTAGAGCAGTGGCCCCCAACCTTTTTGGCACCAGGGACCAGTGCTCCTATGAGAATTCAGTTTATGACAATCGGAGGTGGAGCTGAGGCAGTGATGCCTAGCACTGGGGAGCGGCTGTAAATACAGATGAAGCTTTGCTCCCTGGCCCACTGCTCACCTCCTGCTGTGCGGCCCAATTCCTAACAGGCCATGGACAGTCCATAGCCCCGGAGGTTGGGGACCCTTGCAGTAGAGTATTCATTTTGTGGAATTAACTATAATTTTGTAAAGGCATCAAGGATGGGCCATATTGCTTTTATACATATACTGACTCAGCTGGTATTTGAGGTATGACATTTAGAATTCCTGAGAGATTATTTGCAAGAAAAAGGTTTCTCCAGCAGTTCTAGAAACATATGTTCTGCACTCTTCCAGGCTATAGTTTGGATGGGGAGGCTGCAGTCCACATAAATGGTGCCACAGCCATTAGTCAGATGTGCCTTTTGTACTTTCCACAGATGGATGACAATCTTCGCCAAAGCCCTCAGCTTCCTCCTCGGAAACTGCCAACACTTAAATTGACTCCAGCAGAAGAAGGCGATTCCTTACAACGGCTTTCGCCCTGACAGACATCTTGCTTTGTGTCCACAGTCATATGATTGTTGCAGTGAACTCTTACACTCAGTGTGTGAAGGCAAAAAGAAAATGCTATTAATAAGTATAATGAAGATTCTAAAACAAAAGAAACTTTCTATGACACCTATTTTTTTTTTTTAATTAGGAAGCTTGCATTTTAGCGTGGCAATGCACTTTAAATACCATCTAAGTGAATGCTAAATGAACTTGAGGGGAAAAAAAGAAAACACATTGTACTGTATATAAAAAAACCTGCCTTAATCTTGGCAGATTTTTGCCTTTGGTTCACATGTTGCTGACCAAAAGCTACAACTCTGTTTTGATTATGCACTCTTCATTTATTCAAGCAAATTTATTAAGTTTTCTTAGACCAGTCTGAATATCTAATATGTGGCTCTTTGGCTGAGGCCTTTTTCTTCTGTTTAGAAATCTGATGCCTATTTGCAACATTAGGAAAAAATATATTATCCAAATGTTCTTTTTACTTCAATAGAAAAGCCTGTATTTAACTTTAAAAATGAGGAATGTGCTTTATAATTATGCTTTCATGAGTCTAAATTTTGGGGGGAGTGGTTAGTATCATATATATATTAAAGGTTATATATAATATTTATCTGACTATATGCACTTCAATATAACATTAATATTTGCTGTTGTATTCAATATAGGTTAGTAAGGGCTCTTTTAGTTAATTGGGCGAATGTGGCAGCTTTAGACCTAAGTATTTGTAGTATGTCTTTAACTCTAGTCATCTCTTTTCTTGGATAGATTTCAGGAGAACTGAATATGTTGGTCATTGTTATTATTGCCAGGCTGTAAAGTCTCATTGAAACTTGCCCAGTTCATAGACACTACTCAAAGAGCCCACCGTCAGAGTAATAGAAGTACCTACTGTATGCCTGATCCAAGTTCACCAGGCTTGGCTCAGGCCAGTCCAGTGGTTTTTCAGAAGAAGCATATCATGTAGTCAAAAGCTTTATGACAACTAATTACTATTTATGTAGTTTAACTACAGTTGAAGGATCCAATGGAATAATCAGAAATAGTAATTTTTAAGAATATTTTCTATTTATTTGTTGCTGAACTGTTAAAGGGTTTGCTGTGCAAGTAATTTTACTTACAGTAAGATCTCGCTTATTTTAGTGGCTGAGGTGCTTCTGTTGTTCTAAAACCACTTCTGGGGTTTTTAAAATATAGGACCATGTTTTTGATTAGTGTCTTAAAAGATTACTATGGTGCTCAGCAAATCTTATCACGTTCTGCAGAAACCCACATGTTAAGAAAACAGCTTTGTCTTCAAGAGACTCATCTAATTTGAGCTGAGTGGAGCTCAGCTGTGTTTGACCTGGATCCTCTCAGTTTGTTCTGTATTTAGGTAGCTATTTATACAGGGGTCTTTAAGTCTTTGTAAATATTTTTCTTGGAAGTTTTAAATAAATGAAAAACAAGGTAGTCTTCAAAATCTTGTTCATCTGTTTGGATGCATTTAGGGAAAGTAACACATGAGTTTCATATTCTGCAACAGGTGGGACCGTGTGTGTGTGTGTGCACGCACACCCATTATGTGTTAATCTAATAGATTAACACATAATGGACGTGTTACGAATAGTCTATATTGAAAATCCTAACCAGAGGACTTTATTGTCCTCTATGAGTGATGTATATTAGAGAAGGTTGGTTAGCACATTAGACATCTGTTGATGCTTTAGTCAGGGTTAGTCATTTTCAATTATGACTTGTATTAAAATTTCCAAAAAGCATTTGAAGTGATTTACAGTTGTCAAATGCATGTAAAACAGGACAATTAAAATTAGTTTGGGAAGGATAAAAAATTTATAGACGAAAGAGCTATACCGACCCTAACAGATTCTAAAGTTGAATGGTAAATTTAACTCCAAGTTTCTCCATAGACAAAGTCAGAGATAATACTGGGTTATGTAAATTTTTGTCAATAAAATTGCTAATGTCCGTGAATAAGAAAATGTGTTTAAATTTTTATAAGAAGGTGGGAGCTCATGTTTTTACAACACGGACTGCAGCCGATAAGCATACTGTAATGTTTCATGTGTTGAAAGTTTAATCAAAAGCCATCATTTTAGAATAACAAGTATTTTCCTTTTTTAGCAGAGATTTATTTCCGTTTGGTCATTCCAGCTCTGAACTGCCTTTAGCCTTATACTATATAGACCATGATGCTTTGAGATTGCCTTTCCTAAGATGCAAATGTGATTTAGATAAGTGAAAATTTATATGTTGGTTTATTTAGTAGAGGTTCTTTGATATAAGCCAACGAGATGCTAGGAGCACAAACCACTCCAGAGATTGCCACACACATAAGAAGCTCTTAGAAAGGAACAGCTTTTCAGACTGGGCAGCTTAAGATTAGCCTGTCAGGATATGCTTTGGAGAAAGTTTGAGTTTGCTGAGATAAATGGGCCCACAGTCTTAAACAAAATGCTGTGAGCTACTTTCTTTTGGAGGTAATGATGGAGGATAATATAAAAAGGTTCTATGGTTGTGTTTATATTTGTTGGTGGTATAGGATTAGAAAATTGGTCAGGTAATTCCCATTTGATAAAGATCCTCCATCAGTTGTCATCAGTCATCCTTAAGACTGACCATTCTCATGACACTAAAGAAACTGTAAAGAACATTGAGGATGGTCATTCCTCCCTCCCCCGCCCCCTGCCCCAAAAAAGGTTGACATTAACAAAGAAATCAAATTTCGACTTAGGTATATTTGTATTATTTTGGGGGTACTAGAGGATTGCAGATTTTACATGAAATCAGAAGCCTTTTGATTTCCCTTTGTTATTTCTATTTAATATTGCTAGATACATTAACGCGAAGGAATAGGGAAACTTATTTCAATCAGAGCTAAGTTATAATTTTCAGAACTCTGCAAAAATGGAAAAACTACATATAAAAATAGGCAAAAATTGGAAACAGTGATAGTATCGCAGAAAACCATTTTTTTAAAGGTAGCTTCATGTGATAAAACTTAGAAGTCAGTAATATGTATTCTTAGAGCCTCTTCCAAGAATATACATTTACCGGGCCCATTAAATTTTTTGATAGTTTTTCATAAACTGTCAAAAATTTTAACTCTTTAAAACCAATACATAAATGCTTAAATGTAAAGACAAAAAGCTCAGTGATGGATACACAGGATTTCTCTGTACTGTTTTTGTAACCTGAGAATCTATAATTATTTCAAAATGAAAGTTTTAAAAAGTAAATTCAATACAGTAAATTTATCATTATCTACATAAACTATGATTTAAAATTTAATGTGCCAAAGATACTATCCAGTATTCAGTTCCAGATAAATAAATGTAAATTTATATAAATTAAATATTATTTAATTTATAATAAATATAATTATTTAATTTATAATAAGTATAATTATAAATGAAATATCATTTCATTCTTAAATTTAAAGAAAAAATAACTCAGGTATGTAACAAATAACTATCTAAAGATCTGGTTTGCCTTACGAGAATAGAAAAAACAACCTAAACCTATGAACTCCTTTTCCTCAGGATATAAAAATTCTATGATTTTATGTTTGTTATTGTATCTTTTCCTGCTTATGGTCCCTGGATTTACTTTTGAGGATAAAGTATTTTGAAAAAATTTCTATGATTCCATGTGGCAATTTTTCTTTGCTTTGCATGTATTACCTCTCTAACAGCACAGTGTGACAGAATGTATGCGGGGACCACACTTCACTGAAGAAGGTGCAGTCTGTCTACATGCTTTTTGTATTAAGCTCACAGGGATTTAGTAATTGACTTTGTCTTGGTTTGGTTATTTATATAATTGAAATCCTTAGCAGAAGGAATCAACTTGGAATTCCAGGACAATTTTCCAAACCACTTTTGGCTGTGCTTTAAAAGTACCAAAAAAGCAGTAGGTATTTATGACACTAAAGTCACATACAAACTGGTTATTTTTTTATATATACACATATACACACACATATAAGTATGTATACATACAAAGTGTCATAGAAAATTTACAGTTGCTTCAGTGACAAAGCAAAGGAAGATTCATATTTTCCAGTTCTATTACTGAAGACATGGTCTAAACAGAGACTATATGTCTGTGTGCACATTTTCAAGGATGAAGGTTTATAATTTTCATTAAATTCTCGGTTTCTATATCCTCCCAATTTTAAACGTCACTAGCGGTTTCTATATCCCCGCAATTTTAAACCTCACTAGCCTCCAAATTTCAGAGGACTAAGTATGTTTGATTTCATTTCAAAGTATAAAACCAGATCACTAATCAAGCATAAGGATCCTTTCGTTGTTTTCCGCAGTGTCTATGGTTGTGTACCTGGAACTCTGTGCTTTGGGTGTGTATTTATTTGATAGAAAGCTTGCCTTTGGGTTTTGAGTTGCAGTGTAATCGTGAACATCTAGCCACGTGAAAAGCATTTGGACCTTTGTTTTGATTCTTTAGTTTTCCTCCTATAAATTCAGAAAAATGCCTTTTAATCATTTAGTTTATATATCCCAGATCCTTGGAAATCAAGAAAAATGACTTGCCAGAGTTAGCATCAGTCCTCAGCGAGTCATGCACTGTAGAGAAGGTTGTGCTGGCCATTTGTTCTTTGGACTACTGGCTACTTCTTTTGCAATGCTGGTATCTTTATTTCTGGGAGAAGGAAGGGTATACTCAAGCTTTTATGTTAATTGCATGAAGATGAGCCTTATTCCTCTTTGGACTTTATGAAATAGGAAATAATATCTTTCCATTTTTCTGCTCATCTGGAAGTAGAAATTTGCAGTGTTTGTAACGTAACGTTAGCATTTTGGAAGATGGACAGCAAAGAAGATAAATATGTGAATACACATATTGGCTTTGTTCCACCAAGCCTATCTTTGAATGGTAAACATTTTAAATATCTGTTCTAGTGTACAAATGCTCTAGTTTTGACATAATCTAAAGCGATGTTGGTCATAATTTCAATATTCTTTCCAGCCTTGCTTAGTGTGAATGTATTTTACTCAGAGACTATGTATAAATACCCAGAAGTGGTGATGGTGAAAAATGCTGTAAAGAATTAATTCTGATAAATAAGAAACTGGATATAATGTCAAAATAGCTATTTTCACAATAAAATCTCAAATTGCTTGAATGTGTATTAAATCCTGAATTGATGTTATTTATTCTTTGAGGCTAATATTTTCATTGACAAGAACTCTGGTGTGGCTGAAAATAGTTATTCAGTGTTGGGACTGAGCTAGATGGAGATTGTCCGTTCTTTCTGTGATGCATTGAGATACCTGTGCTCTATCCACCCCATGTGAAGGGAGGTTAGAGGCCTGCTCCCTAGGCCACTGGCAGGCATTTGATCTCAGACTGCTCACACAACTCTTTGGAGCTACAGTTATCACTTTGGCTCTCTAAGTTTTTAAAAAATTTCCCTTTTGCCCACCAAGATAGTCCAGTGATGTTCCGTGTAATTGAATGGAAGACATACACTGAGATAAATAATGCAGTTCTCGTTAAGGGGTAGGACATATGGGTATAGAGAATGGTGTTAAAGCTGTTAGTCAAGTAAGGGTAGGTTCCCTGAGAAGACAAATATATTTATTAGAATTTATTTTTTTAAATTAAGTATAATTTACATATAGTGTCATATGCATCAATCTTCGAAGTAGAGCTGTTCAGGTATGTAAATACTTCTCTCACATGAGAAGCCAGCCACATTTTTGTTGATATCCCCAAAGAACACAAATCTTAATTGCATATGAACTTTGGATTCCAGATAAAAGGTCCTTGAGTGGACTGAGGTGGTTGATAATGATCACCTACCTTTGGCAAGAGAGGAGGAAAGAATAGTTGGTATTATGGGATAATGGAATTCTTTTGTGGTGAGGCAACTATTTGGAGTCACAAAGTTCAGAACTGTACAGCCAAGAACTTCAGCAACTTCAGTTCCTAACTGCCCAGCACAGAGGCTTGACTTTGGTCTGGGACTGTCCTGGGTACTCTCAGAAACTCCTGGATGACTGTTTAGCATGATGTCCCTCAGTAGATGGGTAGGCTACAACATAAACAGTGCTCTGTTCTCCTTTGCCACTAATAGCAGCTAATGGTAGGAAAACTTAACTTTTGCTATATTGGGATCCATAGGAGAAAGATTGAGATAAAGGGAACCAGTAAGATCATTGAGCGCTGCCAGTATGTTTGAGACAAGTGTATATAAGAACAAGAAGGAAATAGTGATAGGGAAATGTAAGGGTCTGTCTTACTCAAGATCATCTTGTAATTATGTTCCTAGTGGTAGAGCAAAGGAGAAACTAATCCCTTCGTCATCTAACGGACTAGAGCTTCAGGAGAAAGAATGAGAAACTATGGTCCATTTTTCCAGGTACATTAGTCAGTCCGCTGGAATGCTTTAAGAATGATTAAGAAATGAAGACAGCTGTGTATCATCAAAGACATTTGTAATTTCTAACACAGCCAACTTGCTCTAAAAGTTGTATTTTCCCCAGTGAGCGAGAGGCTTTATATTTATCCTACTTTTTGAGTGAGTGAAAGAAATAGGAAAATTTTAATATTTATGAATGCAATTAAGGATTAGTTCCTCAGATTCTAGTTTGGGGATGGTGGTTCTTTCACAAACTCACATTTTGAAAAAGTTAAGCAATCTTTTTGTGTAGAAGGAAGCATGACACTTTCCAAATATCACACTTTAAAAGCAAACAGATTTCAGTTTTATTTTAAATGCAAGTAGCAAACTGACTGACTTGAAGATGGTCAGATTGTGCCTATTCTGATATGCGTTGTCCCAGTTTTTCCATGAGGGGAAAAATTGCTTTTTTTCATCTAATGATCATGATTTACATGTTGTATTACCTATAACCTCTGATTCAAGGGCGATAGTTACTGCTAAATGGCTTAGAAAAAGGTGAGAATGGGTATAGCAGATGTAGAAATTGAGAGGAAAAAGAACCAAAGAGAAAGGAACTCTAGAATATGATATAATTGGGGCTGTGGAGATGAAGAATGGGATGTAGAGAGACAGTGGACTTTAGAATTAGAAAGCCAAGCTTAACATAAGATACCAAATTGGCGTTCTTGAGCAAGTTACTTGATTCTTAGTCTGCATTACTGTTTATTGCAATGCAGTCGAATAACTGGATCTAAATACAAATGGACAGTGGCCATCTGGGAGAAAATATTCAACTAGTTATCAAAGAAATACACATCTAAATGCTGATTCATTGGATCTTGGATGAACATTTTTATATGTTTGGTTTTTTTAATTCCTAAAATTTAGAAGACATCCAGCCCTAGTTCACCTCTTATGAACCACTTCTGTTAACATACTGGTATCAGTTCTTCCAGTCTTTTAATTTCTATACACTCACACACATGCACAATCCTGTATATCTTGTAATCCCATAGTATGTACGATTCTGTAATGTACTTTTTCACTTAGTGTTCAGAAAATCTTGTAGGTCATTACATATTCTATGTGATTTTATTGTATGAATGTGCACTGTTTATTTCATTCCCTTGTGATGATGGACACTGAGGTGAATTCTTGTAATGGTCCTTGTTACATATTATTAAATTGCTTCTCAGGAAGATCGCATCACTCTACATCTTCCGCAGCCCTATATAGGAAAATCTCTATTACCTGCAACCCCTCCAGTGCCACGTATTCCTTCTCTCCTCTCCAACTTGTTAGATTTAAAAATAGCATTTTTATTTATTTAATGTGTATTTCTTTGATAACTAGTTGAATATTTTCTCCCAGATGGCCACTGTCCATTTGTAGTTCTTCTGTAAGTTGTCTCATCATATTCTACATAAAAGGCAAATTCCTGAACTTCTCTGAGACCCTGTTTTCTCAGCTGCATGCTGGGGCTTCCATGTGGTCTAACTGAGACCACACAGTGCAGATCCAAAACATGGCAGGTGCCAACAGTGTTATTTCCCTTCGTGTTCCTTCCTGGAATAAGAGCTCCCAGAAGATGGAGACTCTTTCTTTATTGTAGTCCAACAACTAGCACAGTGCTTGGAACATAGAAAGGGTTCAAAAAGTTTTTGAGGAAGGAAGAAGAGAGAGGATTTGAAAACATTTTGAGTATATCAGGAAAAGGAGTGAGAAAAGTTGAAGCCAAGATCCAATGAATCAGCAGTGAGAAAAGTGGTGGGTTCCTCAGAAGCTTACTATTAAAATAGAAGAATTTAAGTTTTACTCTCAAAACTCTACTAAGAAACAATTTCTTATAGACTGAAGTGGCTAAAGGGCTTTAAATACCTATATTCAAGGCTATAACCAGCCTGGAAAAGTTGAGTGATTTTTTTTCTGGTAAGCTAAAGAGTAAATATACTAGGAAAGGTGACTAGTTATAGGAAGTAAAGTATTTTGTAAAGTGAATAATAATTTAAAAAAAGATTAATCCTGATTTTCACATATTAGATTTGCCAAGACTAGGAGCAAATGTGTAACAATAATAATCACATTAAAAATCACATTAAAAAAAAGTTTTAAAGTAACCTAGAGCTGTGATGCCTCAGATGGAAGGAAGAGAATTGATGTTAAGTCTTGTTTCAATCAACATGTCCTGTGATCGTGGGTGAGAGAAGTCAGTGGTTCA